TGTATTACTGGTCTTGGTGTTTATAATACATCTATTGATGTGTTGTAAATTGACTGTGATTTCAAAAGGGTGTTTATATGTCTAAAATTGCATTGTACATAAAAGTTGAAATATTAATGACAAATTAGTGTATAGTTGAATGACAGCTTTTCAATTGTCAAAATAAGTGTCATGCTGCTGAAATTATGAAAAACTTGCACAGTTTGTAAAACCAATTACCGGTACTGTAAAATACTTTATTTTCGCTTGGAATTAATTTTCGCTATTTTCGTTGACGGAATGATTTAGTGAAAATAAAATCCAGCGAATATACCTTTTTTCCTATATTTTATACACAGTATTCAACTTTTCAAAAATCAGTGAAAATAAATTCCATACAAAACACCCCAAAAAAATAAAGTATTCTACAGTAGTTGATTTCAAAAACAAAGTACTATTATTTCTTAAATTTCTAGTAGTCCTGGTTGGCTACAAATTTGGGAAAAAAGTAGTCCCACGACAAGATTTGGTCTGTGTGACAGTGCGCCCTCTAACAGAACTCATTTTGTAGGGACCCCCCCCCCCTCCCCAATATCAAGTTGAATCAGTCTTCAAGAAAAAAAAATTGTATGTTGTAGTTTTGCATACAACACATGAATTTACAAATTCCTTATAACTATAGCAACACAGGTTTTTCAAGATCACTATTTCAATGTACGATTATCTATTGTGTCATTTATGCGGCAGTGAATTACCACAACTAGTTGCGTTATAACAAATCTTTTCGTGTCAATGACATGTCATATTGACTTTGAGGGCACACTGCTGTACACCCTAGACTACTGGTAATTTTGAGCCTTGTATCATATACAATGGTTTACAATTGGTGTGATATGCAATAGATCATTGATTTGAAAGATGAGCATGGAATTACCAAACAAACACTTCAAGCCTTTTCACCAGAAGACTTTTTCGCCCAAATTTCTCTGCAGTCTTTTCTTGCATATTCTTCAATATTTCTGGAAATGAGCCATAATTTTAGGGCCAACAGACAAAATTTTAGTCAATTTTCAGTTTTTACACAGCAAATTTGGCTATTTTTTGTCACAATCTTCTGAGTTTGTGATGTAAAGAGGAAACTTGTGGCTAGAAATGTTAATGCAAATGAGTCTCTGAAAAAATTAATTAATTACTGTTTTTTTCAAGGCTGTACACAATATATTACTGTAGAATTTCACAGTACAATAATTTTGAGTATCTTCATCCACTAATTATGTAAATTAAGACAATTAGTTATTTGTTTCTCTGTCTGTCCTCGGTCATGTCATTAAGTTAAAACATAAATGAAATTCTCATTCTTACCGAAAACTAAAATTCAGTCTTCAAATACACCCAAACTAAAGTACTATAACATTTTACATTGAAATACTATTATTAAAATCAGAATTGTGAATGAATGTATTGTATTATGTGTGGTATAAATTGTCAAAGTTTATTTGAATGGTCGATGGAAGGTGATTTAAAAATGGATTAGCCACTCGTCATTTTAGGGTTTGTTTACTAGAGAATACCCTGATGCTCTGTTGCTTTTCATATATTTTGCCATTTTCTTTATTGTGAATGCTATAATGTGAATGGCGATCTACAAAACTACCAAGGAACATTAAAATACGCATCTTCAACACAGTTGTCAAGCCGGTCCTCCTATATGGTGCAGAAATATGGAGAACTACTGTTGCCATTATTAGGAAAATACAGATCTTCATCAATACTTGTCTTAGGCGTATCCTCAGAATTTTCTGGCCTGAGGTAATTAGTAACCAAGACTTGTGGGAGATTGCTCATCAGCAACCCATTGAGGCAGAGCTTTTGCAGAGACGATGGCGGTGGATTGGCCACACCCTACGGAAACCAATGCCTAATATTACTAGACAGGCATTGACTTGGAATCCTCAAGGAAAAAGAAAGAGGGGAAAGCCTCTTAACTCATGGCGCAGAGACATGGAGGCAGATGTTAAGAAGATGGGCCGCACATGGAAAGAACTGGAGACGCTGGCTCAGGACCGCTCTGCCTGGAGGAACCTGGTTGACGGCCTATGTCCCAGGAGGGGCGATAGGCTTAAATAAAATAAAATATATAATGTGAATATTTTTTAATATAGAATATCTGTGAACATATCCCCCTACAGCATGTACCGTATACAAAATGGTGTTGATTGGATCAGTAAGTTATTTGGGGGGATTATGTTCAACATGGAGTGCCATCATGTGTGCAACTAGGTGACTTGGCATGGCAGTGATTGACTTTTTATTGGTCATGGTATTATAGTGCTGGAAATTGAGTAATTTATCATTGGTTGCTGTGGTAAAAAGCTCATATCTCAAAAGCTTGTGGTATATGTGTCTTGGTGTGGTATAGGCGTGGTGTGGATTACATATAAATATATAAATAAATGAAATTAATTCCTTCTATAGATATATTATAAAAGAGAAATCCAAAAGGTTGTAAGATCTATGTGGTGTAGATTACAAATAAATATTTTAAAGGTATTTTTAAAAAAAATTATATTTTTTGGTTCAAATTCTACAAAAAAATAGGATAGATTTTTCTGCATCCAATTTCTTATAAAATCATACGATAAGAGAAGGTTTGAAGTACTACTTACCTTGTAGTATCTTAATTGCTGACAGAGAATAAATCATCTATATTTTCTCTTCCACGTTTTGTCATCTAGCAAGTTGTCTCGTGTCTGTATTTTTCTGTACTTACCTTTTTTTGCCGATTCTGAAGTTTTAATATTTTTTATCTATTTGGAAGGATGACAAGGTAAACTTGGATGTGATAATTGTCTATTTAACAAATATCAACTTTAGAATTAAAAACAGTTTTAAATTAACATTTTGCTATTTGCACCTTCTTACCGTAGTCATGAAAGAAATTGTCAGTTTATTGAATAGCTCGTTAGATCCCATGAAGTTTCACTGTAGGTAAATGTCGAGTGAACAATAAATGCAGGCTAGCAAAATTTCAATAACCAGAGCAGACAAGATTCTGAGCTGTTCATTATTGAAATTGCAACTATTTAAATGAATGCAGTGCTGTTTTATACAAACACCATAGCTGCTGATCAATGAATAATTAAATGCATCACAAAACATTTAACGAAATTATCCCAAATTGTTTATAAAGTTCATTTAACTACCATATGTATGTTAGTTTTTTAACGAATAATTAACTTAATTAATTAATTTATGAAAGTGTACATAATATGAGCCAACGTGTAAATATTGACACTGTATCTTAAAAAGAAAATTGTATTTGCAACATTCAAGTACCGATAACATACTCATTATCCCATGTAATTGGCAGCAGTCTGTGAAGATGTCTTATGAGTTTTTAAAACATATATTCTGTCCTACTGAATTAAACAAATTTGTATTCCCTGAATATTCCCCCACTAAACTTGTGTACATACTTCAATCATAGAGTCAATACAATATTGTGAGGTCTATGCTTTTAATGTATTAATTCATAATAAATGATATAAATAACTTTTTCCAAAGAACTCTGTATTTGCACCTTGTTAAATATTTATTTGACACATCTTAATAATTCTTTCTAGTGATTATAACGATTGTTCAATAAAATGTGAAACTTGCATCAGAACCGGAAAATTAATATTAATAAATAAATGCATTTTTCGGCATTATGTTTAGGATTTAAAGTGGAGGAGTCGTCATCTGCGCATGCGTCAGATGGCCATAGCGTGTCATTGTTTACAAACAAGCGTCTACCCATGTTCCCATGAGCGTGTGTTGTTATCATCATAGGAGACTCAATTACGCAGGTGACGACCCTCCCTCTTTAAGTTGATATACAGTATACCTTTATCCTAATCCTGAAGACGTTAAAGTTTAATTTCATTGAATATTAGCTTGATACAGACTGTCAGTTTATTTATAAAACTGTAATTATATTGCATTCTGATATGGGATTGCAATTTAATTGAGTTGCTCCACAGGTTCCAACTACATGTTTCTATAGACAACATGTTGTAACAATATAACATGTACTGGTAATATCAAATGTTATTCATTCTCACGGTTCAGTGAATCATCCTATTAAACTGTTAATTTACGAACTTCATTTGTCTAGCGGAAAAAAATGAATCCTCTGATTATTGTCCTCCTAATCCAAATGTATAATTGAAAAATGCCTTTGTTATAAACTCACAATTCACTTGAAGGGAATCGTAAAGTGTATGACCACACACATTTACACACACATGTTGGATCACAATAGTTTTTGTTGATTGGAGAATCCTTATAAATAGCGCAGAACGACAATGTCAACTTCTGTCTCCTTCCACAAAATAAGACATCATATCTTTTTCCATATTTTTCATTAAATTTCTCATGAATAGAATATTATGCCCATTCAAATTAACAAGAAAATTATAATTACAAAGATTCAAATTGTGAATTACTGTGTTGCAGTAATTTGAGATCCAGACAAATCCATTGTTTTTCAACAATTCATGTACATGGGTTTTTCTTGAAAAAAATAACAAAAGGGAGCACACACAGACGAGGGAGCGGAGCGACCAAATGGGAGGCTATATCGGAAGGTTTCTGCACCATTTTAACGGTGTATCTATCGCCTTTGAAATATTTTTGGAATAATTTTAGTGTATTTGGTATCCAGACACATTATCAGTTGGTGTTGCTGGGAAGTTTTCACAGAGAAAAATATATTTGAGAAAGATTTCATGTTGTACGGCAGCATGGAAGTGTGCGGCTCATGAAATATATGACGTGAAAGTTCAATCGGCAATTCAGTAAGAGGGCACCAGCCAAGAGTATCAGGGCGCTGCACCCCTGTTTAGAAAAACCATGGATGTATGATCAAGCATTTCACAATAATCCTAAAGCTCAATCAAAGCTGAAGCCTGGCTTTATTCATGGACAAGGTATTTATTGCGGAGTTTAATAAATTTCTGAATATTCTACTCTATCATAAGGTAACCTTTCAACTTTGAAGCCATCAAGACAATGGATGAAGACCAGCCAATGGAGATTCAGCCGAGCACTGCTGGCAACGATGTCTATGGATGCCTCGCCAATTTTAATATTGAGAAAAAGATCGGACGTGGGCAATTCAGTGTGGTGTACAGAGCTACGCACAACATTGAAAACACAGTAGTGGCTCTGAAAAAAGTACAGGTAAAATGATTACACAATTTTCAAAAGGTAAACTGAAGGTGGAGGAAGTATTTAAACCTTTCACGGTCGCCAACTGGTTATGTCGAAAAATAGTTTACTCGTTCACACCCCATTCATGATAGTCTCAATGGACACAATTATTCGGAAAAGTAAAACGATGTTCTATGACCAGGTTGCGCAGCGATCACATTTTTGGCGTTTTGAAAACTACTACTTAAAAGAAATATGGATTACTTCAGTATTCGGGGTTCATCCTGAGTAAATAACAGAATAGAAAATGTCTGAACCATGTTCCATACGTTTGTAAGTTTTCTCGTAAAAGCAGGAACCAAACTACATGTACCTTACCAGTCGCGATTTTTATGCAGTGAAATACACTTTTTACATGCATGTCGTTGACACTCGGTAAAAACACCCTGGGCCTATACTTGGGATGCCCTCAAAGGGGTTTATGATCGGGAAGTACGGTAATAAACTCTCTTTCGTAATTATGCATGATTTTAGTTTGAATTATACACATCATTAGAGTATTGTGTTATACCCAATTTGTATTTTATGTATGGAGCTCTAGATATTGTATTAAAACGTATATTTAACATGTATGCAAATATCGAATATGAGTATTTTTATTAGCTAGAATTTAATTTTAGTGAAAAACCACTACATTTTGGCTGAGATGTATAATTGTCAATTTCTTACATGAATCTGGTAACCACAAAGAAAAGAGTACCGGTAATTCAATTTACTTGTAAAATACTTTATTTTAGCTGGCTTTAATTTTCACTGTATATACTTTTTTGGGGATTTGTATGTAATTTATTTTCGCTGGTTTTCACTGATTTTTGAAGTTGAATGTAAAATATAGAAAAAAAGGACGTATATTCGCTGGATTTTATTTTTACTGAATCATTCCTTCAGTGGAAATAGCTAAAATTAATTTCAAGCAAAAATAAAGTATTCTACAGTATATGTTTGAACTGGTTGAATTTTAAAAATAAAAAATCAGTGATTTGATTACATCTAAAAACATAGTCAGAACAAACAAAAAATCATCAGTTTAATTTATATCATCACAATAGCTGTTACCGGGGGGGGGGGGGGGGGTAACACTTTTTCAGTAGTTGTTTTACCTTTAAAAATATGTTAAGGACCTCTGTAAAAAAAAAAAAAAACTTCATGCAGTGAAATCGACACCAATGGATCATGCTGCAACTTTGATAATACTGGTAATAAATTTAATTTCTGCAATGCGTTATGCAGTTGTAAATATTTGAAAACTGACTGATTGTGGTTTATGGCATTCATGACCTATCAGGTCAAGGATCATCATGGTAGATTAACTAGTGAACCACAAAAACATGGCGGACGCAGAATCGATCAAGTGTTCTACAACATTTGTTCATGTATTTGTTACCAAACTGAAAAAAGAATAAAAAATTGTTGGTATCAAAGCATGACTGAATATTAAACTGTCACCATGGTAACAAGTGCAGTGCTGGTGCAGATGTTGTACCAGTAGTGGTGTTAATGCTACACGAAAGACGGGTTAAGATTTAAGCTGATCTCTTATATTTATATATCAGATAGACCCAATTGCATTCATGCACAGGAGGAAACAGTGATTAGCACAGGCTAAAGAATGCCCAAACTTATTAATTAATATTATTAATTAAGAAAATACAAAACAAATTCAGAAAGTGTAAATTGTAGAATTACAGGAAGAAGCTAGAGTCTCATTGTCAGTTCATTTTTTCTTGAGAACGATATCTCCTGATGTGTGCACATTGATTATCATGTCGGAATTGGCATACTGAAAGGAATAGTAATAAATCTAATTATCGTAAATGGCATTATAGGTGCTTAGCCCGAGCTAAGTTTTCACGCACACTTAGTCCGTACCAAGGATCTGGGACAGGTCTTAAAAACAACCCGGATTTACTGTCACTGCCATATTGTTACGAATACCAAAACATCAACATTGCCAGTTAAGTTGCTGACTGGTTTGTTATGTCAGTCTCGAGATCGATGCATGATAAGAACTGGTTAGTTCAAACCACTCACGAGGGTGCGCCGTTCAACTAAAATGACATGCACTTAACATACATGTACCATCGCCAGTGTCCAGACATTTCATACTGTGTAAATACATAACTTTGTCATATATTATATAGAAATGTATAAGATTGAATAAAATATATTGAAACTAATCACATCATGATCTTCTATTTATATTCCGATGTGTCTAAGTCCTACACTATTAGTTTGACGTCTTCTGTTGAAGTTGCGTGGTTTGACCCAACTTGTTCTAATCGCGTATAACAATCTTCAGGCAGGCTTATAGCAAACCAGTCAGCAACTTAGCTGGCAATGTTGCTATTTTGGTGTTCAGAGCAATATAGCGGTGACAGAAATCCATACTTAGTGATTCTTGTAGCCTGTGCTAAGCCTTCAAGCATGTTTTTTTTAGCACAGGTTAAGGTATTTGACCTTTTCCTGTGCTGTCCTGTCCTGTGCTGTGTCTGGCAATGCTACTATTGAAATCTTGTATGAAGTCTATGTACATACAGTATATACTAACAAATGTACTTGTTTGAACCAGTGTTTAATCATGCATGCTGATTGTCTTAGACACAGTTATTTGATTTGTGTTACATTGCAAGAATTATCTTACTGGGCGTGAGGTATGTTCCTGCTTGGTTAAATATTCTAAGGTAATGGCATTCGTACATTCTGTTTGTCTTCCAGATATTTGAGATGATGGATGCCAAAGCACGACAAGACTGCATTAAAGAAATTGATTTACTTAAGGTATGTGGTATTTGGTTTTGTTAAATGAGGCATAGAAACATGTATTGGGGCTGTTTTTATGGATGGTTGTTTGAAAGTGTGTTACTGTTATTGGTGTGTCCATTCTCAGGGTTTCCGCAAAAGTCTTACCGGTAAATCAAATGTCTTAAAAATGTCTTTTTCCAACTTTGCTATATATATATATTTCTTGAAAAAGTCAGAAATATGAGGAGCTTTTTGGTGTAGTTTGGAAAAGCTGACGCTTCATCTTTTGAAAATGTTATTCCTGCACTCTGCAATTGTTTAATGTGTTGTGTAATGAATATCCAACGTATGTATTCTTTGCTTTTACTTATTTTAGCTTCGCTGCCAATTGAGCTTATCATATGAGTGATTGTCCATCGTCCACATCAACTTGTTACTTTTTCGACTTCTTCTTGAAAACTACAATTCTTATTGCTTTGATACTTGGTTTATATGTACCTTGGGCAGACCTCTCTCAGATTTGTTCATTTCATTATGATATCTTCAATTCTCTAATTTTGGTGGATATTTTTGTCATTTTTGGTAAAAAGTGATATTTTCGACTTCTTGTTAAAAAACCGCAAGTCCAATTCCTTTGATAATACATTTATAGGTACTACATGTGGACCTTTCTCAGATTTGTTCATTTTGTGATGATATCTTCAATTCTTTAATTTTGATGAATATTTTTGTCATTTTTGGTAAAAAATTCTTGTTGAAATGTGTGCATTGCTCACAGCGAAGCACTCTCAGCCGACAGACTACATGTACTTGTTATGTTACTGTGAGTTTATTGCTAAAACCGTTCTTAAATTCACTAAAAATTGATCTCAAATAGATCTTGAAGTTGTGACGTGGTGGTCTATAACTTAAAATACGCAACTAGGTATTTTTGAGAATCATCATTTAAACTTTTGACACTTAATTGCATTACTGGTATCTTAAAAACCTTACATGATGCATACCAGATAATTACTAAATACACGCTGGTTACAATATGACTAAGTTAGGAATATTTCGTAATGAATGAAAATTTACCCTTTCATGTGCGCTTCATGTTCATGCATTAACAGCCAAGAAATTGAATTTCCATCAGCAGCATTCAATATGAAGCCATGCAATTCTACAATTTATAAAGTTTTGGTTAATTAATGTGACATGTGTAATTATCAGTAAATTTAACTTGCATTAATTTTGATCCAATTTGACAAACTATTACTTGATGAAAATTTCTGTTAACAGCATTTTCATTCACTAGTTTCTTTAAACATTTAAAAACACCTTAACAATTGGCACATTTTTATTTATTTTTGAATAATATCTTTATTTTTTTTAGACCAAACATACATAATTTCCCATTTGCTACAAGTGTTGTTCTAAATTTTTGTAAAATTATGGGGGGAAAAATGCAGGTTTTTTGTAAAAAGTTGCTCTGTATAAATGCAGTACTGTTTATAGATGGCACAACAGTCAGTCTCCGGGACACTGGTTTTTATACAGTTACAAAGTCTGAATGTATTTTAAATGTGACCACAATTTAATAAGAGAGAGACGTAATTTTACGCATTATATCTGCCAGTTTGTGTCTGTGTATGTTTTCTTGAGTTACAATAAAAAAAAAAAATATACAATGATGCAGGTAAAACACTGAACAGTAGCTTCCATGGCAACATGTATGATAAATAGAAAATAATGGTTTCCCAGGAAACAAGCTTGAGCGTTCCTTTTCATATTTTTGTTCATTACTAATTTACTTCAATATAAAAGCTGAGCACAGCATAAAATATCTGTTGGCCTGCTTATTTTAACTAAATTTCTTTTTTTATTTGATTTGATTACAGCAATTGAATCATCCAAATGTTATTAAATACCTAGCTTCTTTTATTGAAGATAATGAATTAAATATTGTATTAGAATTGGCAGATGCAGGCGATCTGTCCAGAATGATTAAGGTAACTGTAGTTCATACACTGCGTCTATTGACTATTCTGTCAACAAACATGTGCGCAAAAACTTAAGTACTTTTTTTCTGATTCCTGTATTTATTTTGAACCATACCAACATGATTTGTTACCTTTGCTAATTATTATCGACAGTGTTAAGAATTTACACCACTTTGGGAGACATACAATTGTTTCTTATAGTGAAGTGTTTACTATAATATTAAAGCATACTGTAGAATACTTTATTTTAGCTGGAATTAATTTTCGCTGAAAAGACATTTTAGGTGTTTTGTATGTAATTTATTTTCACTGATTGTTGACGAGTTGAATGTAAAATATAGGAAAAAGGGTATATACACTGGATTTTATTTTCACTGAATTATTCCTTCAGCAAAAATAGCGAAAATTAATTCCAAGCGAAAATAAAGTATTCTACAGTATAATGCATTGTGTTCGTCATGAGCTGAAGACATGCAATGTGTTCAGTATACTGTAGAATACTTTTTTTTCGCTTGGAATTTATTTTTGCTATTTTCGCTGAAGGGATGATTCCGTAAAAATAAAATCCAACGAATATACTTTTTTTCGTATATTTCACATTAAACTCATCAAAAATCAGTGAAAATAAATTCCATACAAAACGTCCAAAAAGCCTTTCCAGTGAAAATTAATTTCAGTGAAAATAAAGTATTCCACAGTATATCAGTAAATTGGTTATAGTTTCAGGGTGACTATTTCTCAAGAGTACTTTTCTGTGTCGAATATATTTCAGCATTTTAAAAAACAAAAGCGATTGATACCAGAGAGAACAATATGGAAATATTTTGTGCAGTTGTGTAGTGCGTTGGATCACATGCACTCCAGACGGGTAATGCATCGAGGTAGGTTGCTATCATTCGATCAGAGTTTCTGTTTCCTATGTCAGCATGTCCATGCTAATTCCTCTCTAATCTAGCACCTCAGTTGAACGTTTACGCATCAAGTTCATTGTACTATACTCGTAGGTGATCAGATGTTTCGAATTATTGTCCATTTTGTCTGAAATTACTGTAAAATACTTTATTTTCACTTGGAATTAATTTTCGCTAATTTTGCTGAAGAATGATTCAGTGAAAATAAAATCTAGCAAATATATCATTTTTTCTATATTTTACATTCAACTTGCCAAAAAATCAGTGAAAATAAATTTCATACAAAACACCCAAAATTCTTTTCAACGAAAATTAATTCCAGCTAAGATAAAGTATTTTACAGTATAACATATCCTGAATCGCTTTTTTGAGATGATTTGATAACATTTTCTGTAAAATCTAAAAATAACAGTTTGTAAATATGTTCTGGACCATTCTGGATTGCACATACCAGGGTAATAAGTTATTGGTGCACCTCTACCCCCCCCCCCTCGAATTTAAACAAAAATAACCAACTGGCAGTCATTTAATAACTCTGAGATATTTCTTTTCAGACATCAAGCCAGCCAATGTGTTCATTACAGCAGCGGGTGTGGTTAAACTTGGTGACCTCGGCCTCGGACGTTTCTTCAGTTCCAAGACAACAGCTGCACATTCTCTAGTGGGGACGCCTTATTACATGTCGCCAGAACGAATACACGAGAACGGTTACAATTTCAAATCAGATATGTGGTCTTTGGGCTGTCTTCTCTACGAGGTATGTCTATGTTTTCGGCAACATAGTTGATTACTTTGCTTTTAAATAATTGTTTCAAAAAAGGAAAGTCAAGTATTATTTATTTATCTTGGGGTTAATTTAATTTAATTATTTAATTGAAGTTAATTTAATTATTATTAACAATGCAATTCAATTTACCTTCCATGAATTGTTGCACTTACTCAACATATAGTGGATTTCACCATGGCAACCACATTGTATGTTTAGTACTATGCAACATGATCAGTACTGATCTACTGCAACTATTTATGCATATCTAGTGGTATGTCTTTTATGCAACAGAAAATTGATGTTAGGATCTTGAAAAATCTTATTTACGAATTTTTTAATTAAAATTAAATTGTTCCTGTTAGAGGCACACTGTCGGTCAACCTCAATTATGCATTAGTAAATGTATCTTCATTAGTTGCTGTGGCCTCCCCATTGAGTCTGTGGCACACTCACCTAGGATCGGTTTTGGGGGTTCAGCCCTGGATGGGATTTGAAATTGCTCGACACTTTAAATCATTTTTTTATTCTCAGATGGCTGCTCTGCAGTCTCCATTCTATGGAGATAAAATGAATCTGTATTCACTGTGTAAGAAAATAGAACAATGTGACTACCCTCCACTGCCAGCTGAGCATTACTCTGAGGAGGTAAGTGAATCAGACTTCAGATTCAGATTGTTTGTTTTTTTATTCATATACGGTTGATTCATTCCCCAAGAGAATATTATATTCATGATTGGTATATGTAGACTAATCTTATACTGGATGATGTCATGATTCTGTGCTGTCATTGGTCAGTTAACAATCACATGGGTTTGAACAATCAGTTTTAAAAAATCTATAATTTTACATTCTCTTTATACCGTAGCTATTATACTTGTTGAAAGAAAAGATTTTTTTCATATTTTTTCTGGCGCTTACATATTCATCTTTTGACACAAATGCCATGAGATAACCCTGAGACTTGTTGTCACTCAAGTAGTGCTCCATTCTCTCCTGTCTTCCCATTCACCGTTTTCGTAATCTATGTAACCATGGTAACTGTAACCATGGTAGTAACAGTGGATGCAATGAAAGGAGATAATGGAACACTATTTAATTTTTCTGACTTTCTTGTTCTCAACAACATTTCTCTGTTTTCACTACAAAGTACTGTGAAATACTTTATTTTAGCTGGAATTAATTTGGGCTGAAAAGACTTTTTGGGTGTTTTGTATGGATTTTATTTTCACTGATTTTTTACGAGTTAAATGTAAAATATAGGAAAAAAAGAATATTCGCTTGATTTTATTTTCACTGAATCATTCTTTCAGCAAAAATAGCGAAAATTAATTCCAAGCCAAAATAAAGTATTTTACAGTATATTTTACTGTAAACTGTTGAAATTTATTTGGGAAAATCATGTAATTTACAAATAGGTTAAGTGTGATGACATCGCTATTTTATTTATTAAATTATTTCAGCTGAGAAGTCTTGTGGCAATGTGTATCAATCCTGATCCTGAGCAAAGACCTGATGTTTCTCATGTGTACGAAGTGGCCAAAAAAATGCACATGCAGAGCTTGCAGCAACAATCAAGCTAGAGTCAGCCTTCCACTCCTGCCTTATTATCGCTTTGAAAACACAATCACCAGATTACAATGCAATGATCATGTGACTAAATCAGGTGATCAGTGTTCTCAGAAACGTTTCACGCTCACAATCAACTATGTTGCATAGTTTCAGGATGCAAATCTACTTAAATACTGAATTTATAGACATTGAGAAAACTAAGCATCTTAGATAAAAAAAAAAAAAAGAGTAGTAAGTATAAATTCCTCACATGATCCAGGCAACACAGTTGCTAGTTTTATGAATGCAATATATTTTTCACATGGTTGGTATTTCTTGTTATATCAATTCTGATTGGATGCTGCTAAATGAATGATGTATCACAGCATTTGATTGGTCAGTACGCAGCTGTGCTGTGTTTTCCTTTTATTTCACTAATTCTTATTGGGTTATTTGTGTAATAAATTTTGAATTATTTATTCAGTTTATAAATATTTAATTGTACATATCAATAACCATCAAGTTCCTTATTAATACTTGTCTACTTTTCCTTGATGTTTATGTGGTGAGATTTCCTACTTTCAGGTATACTGACTGAATCTTGTATTTGTAAATTTCTTCAATTCTAATTGTATTTTAAGCACACTATCACTTTTAGCACAGACTGCTTGAACTTTTGTCATTTTAAAAAAATAACGCATTTCTGTTTAAAGGGCGGCAGTCGTCGTGCCGCGTCCTGTTCGATATGGGACTCGTAACGACGTATACTACGCGTGTAAAATACATTGTTTATTTACATGAAATTCCAACACGCGCTGCGCGACGACCACCACGCTTTAAAGATTTTGGAAAATGATGCCTATCTACAGCGTTCTCTCCTAGAAATTAACATACCATCATTTACATGACAATGTAATATGTTAATCAGTTTGTATATTGTTATGATAGTGGAACTCTATTGATTCTTCAAATTACAGAGTTGGGGTCTCTACTCTATAATAAACTAGGACGCCCATTATCTAGTCCAAAATGAAAAAATGGAATTTTTGGAAAAATATCTAGCAACAAAATTTTGATGTGAAAAATTCTGGAGTTTCAAAGTGAACAGGAAGTATTATACTCAGACATTCCACAAAATAATAATATTTGAGAAAAAGTCCTAAGATAACTATTCCTAATTAATTCCTACTGGTACCAGTAACAATTTGTGTCAAGTAGGTTTGGGAATTAGCACTTAACTCGTTTCCATGGAAATTGTATTTTGAAATGAACGCTCTGGGCATTCATGCAGCAAAATAATTTGTGACCCTCCACTTTGATTGGATGATTTCACCACTCTGATTGGGCCATTTAAAAATAGCATTATGACATGTACAGATTCAGGCTGAATTAAAGATTGTATGTAATTTCATAGGATACCAAAAAAAGAAAGAAAAAAATGGGGTCATCGGGAAAGTTTTGAGAATTTGCCCTTTCGCACTGATATTTTGGGGGAAATGCCATGTCAGGCATCCAGTACTTGTATATTATTGCAAAAAATTGAGATATAGCTCCAAAAATGTTTCATTATTTTATTTGGAGTGTTATCATTTATTTAATCACAAAAATTTACAAGTCTACTAAATTTAATTTAATAAATCAAAAATACCAAGATTATAGTTTAATAACTAGTTACAGACTCCAGGACGTTGATCTCTTACCGGTACTTAATCATTTTACTCAATTTTTGTCGTCATTTTGGGTATTGTGCTTTGTGTGTCTTGTTTAAAATTTTTGAAATCATGATTGCCCATGGTAAAATTAAAAATAATGTTTTTTTTTTGTATTTTCTGAAAGTTGTGAAAATGTTGTGCTAGTTGAGTAAAACTCAGTTGTTTTTGTTGTTGAGGGAAAGTAATACAATTTAGTATGGCTCCCTACCAGAACATTCTGATATTGATGATTGTCGAGATTAGTTGTTTCACTCCCGCAACTTTGTTTCCTTTTTCTGAGCTGGTAAAAAATCCATCTAAAGGTTCAATGAATTTGAAACATGTCTAACTTCTCTCAGTGTTTTCTGAATTTGTTGAAGCAGATTAATTCTGAACCTTGATTGGCAAACAGGATCCATGTGCATTCCCTATATTCCAGTCTCTAGCGACATAGTGCTTCTGTTACATAAAAAATTACTTGAATGGGTCATGTTGTTCAGTGCTGCCTCTGTGTAGTAGTTTGTGATTTAAATATGACAAATCCCACGAAAAAATACTGTTGACATACTGTTGACCTTGAACAGCTCCCCCCCCCCCCCCGATTTACATAGCTGAAACGCTTCACCACTGGAGGGTGCAACTTGCAGGAAATTATGTATTGTAAACATATCAACGTCCACACGAACAAATCTGAATGCAAATTAAAGGATGATAGTTGAGGTCGTAGTCAACCGTGTATGTACATGTTTTGTGTTGATAAACATTGATTTATAGATCTGTACAACGCTCACAAGTCACCATCTTTTTTTGTATGTGACCCATATGTTGAACATATGTGGTTAGATGACCCACCGTCCCTCAACACAGGTGTTGAGGGACGGTGGATGACCACAGCCATTTAATCGGTGATTCATCGTCATTGAGATTCACAATCCATGGACGTTATATGTATTATTCAACGTTGTACACAGTATTAATAGGTGATTTTCCGTACAACTGCTATATCTCGCGAGATGCATGAAAGACGCGCGTCAAACGTCTGCCGCAAAAATCGAACGATTTGATTTTGAACTCGAATTTCTTTATTTCGTAGCTCACATCGACCGGCCGATCTTTGACAGAGGAATATTGCATTTGAATATCCTCTTTTAATCGAAATTGTCTATCATCAAATGTGTACAGCACATTATTGACATGGAAATGTCCCCCAAAATACTTTGGCGTTTGTCGAATCTCACGCGATGTTTGACGCCACTACGACCTTTGTTTGTCCTGTTTTTACATTCGATTTTAAGCATAACGCGTGATTCTCGCAGTGAACGGAAAATGGTCTATTATCTCAGTGTTTGGAATAATTCTGCATAGTAGCAATTCTCGCAGCCGTCCAGTTTTCAAATTCAAACAACTCTAATACTTTTATATAAATATCTGTTAATTAGTGTTTGTTGTATTGCTCTTTGAAATATTGCAGTTTTGTATTTTAAATTTTAAAATCTATACACATCTATTTGTAAAATATAAATGCATTTACTTTCTGTTAATAAACAGTGCACATTTCTGCGACCAGTCATATAATTGTGCTGTTCATCCGGATACATGATCTCCTTCAGTGCAGCAATTAAACTGACCTGGACAGTGTATGTGGCTCGAGAGTAGGCTGAAAAATGTGTCAGTTTATGCGTTCATACAGGTTTGACCATATTTGATTGACGGGATTTCCAAGAATCACAGTCAATGCCTCATTTCTATCAAAAGAAGCTCATCGTCTTATTTATCTCGTGAAATGTCAAAAGTTATACTAATACAATTATTGTAATGTTCAAGCATTTGTAACCATGGTGATGCAATGTGCACCAATGAAAGTCATTCATTCACTTTGCATTGCCAACTCCAAGGAGTAACTGTATTTTATAAATTATGTGATTATTGTCTAAACTTACATTATAGTTGTAATAATTCCAATCAGTCTTGCACTGATTTACTTAAAGGGCGGTAGTCGTCGCGCCATGCATGCGCAAGATATATGGGTCACATATAAACAAAGATGGCAACTTTGACTGTTGGGCAGAATACAAACTGAGACGTTGCCAAGCTTTATTTTTTAGGTAATGGGAAGGTATCGAAGGAGTCTCCGGCGGTAATCAGTGCAAGTCGCGCCTAGGTCAAACCTCATACTTGTGATTTCCATTAGAAGAGCGCATTGGATTGTGGGAAAATCAATGTTTATCAACACAAATGTCGCACATGCGCAGCGCGATGACTACCGCTCTTTAAACATTGGTCGCTATTCATCTTAATTTGTTGTCTATTTTGTAGTCAGGGTTTTTGTGTTTCCTGCCAACGGGGCAATCTGTTGCTCACACTGTCATAACCTTTGTTTTCATGGTGTTTTAATTCACTACAAATCTGTAACAATTTACTGTATTTGTAAGTGTGTTTTGAATTGTGTCTGAAATACTCTGTTGTATGTGTGTCTGATATCTGCACTACAATATCCTGCAGTGTTCTTTTTTTTTTATTGATAAACGTGTTTGACAATTTTACCAGGAATTTTTTTTTGTGAGACCTATCGCTGATCATTTTAATCCTTTGAACTCAAAATAATAAACCTACTTATTTTTTTTTCTCTCCATTTTTTGAAAATATTGATGAAAGTCTGTTGGCAATAAACAATGATATTCATCTGGTAAAATTTCAACAACAAAATTGTTAGCAAATTTGCAAAATAATGCACCAACGTTTTTAGGTGAAAACATGACAGTATTTAAAAGAGATGAAGCTATCAGAAAATATTTTATTTGTGTACGGTTAGAAGGTTTATTTCCCATATATTGTGCACGGCATGGGTATTACTATATACTGGGCGGGATTTAAAGCGGGAGGGGTCGTCACCTGCGCACATGCGGGAATTGAGTCCCAATCGACGTTAACAATACACGCTAAAAATGCAAAGGCTCATGGGTAGACGCTCGTTTGTAAACAATGACACACTATGGCCATCTAACGCATGCGCAGGTGACGTCTCCCACGCTTCAATATTTTAGTTCTTGATATTAAAAAAAATGTTTTGACTGTAATAATGTCAAATAGTATTTTCTTGCAGCCGTGTGTGCTGGGTGTATGAACACCTTGTTATCTTTTGTATGTATAAATATATATTTTAGGCTGGTTTTATTTGTTTTAGATTTTATCTGTTCAATAAAAAAGAGTCTGAAAAAGTATATTTCTTGTTTTTGTTTTGTTTTCCTGTGAATGCAAGATGTAGCTGAAGACGCAGTGTGTATGTCTTTATTCTGAAGTGTCTACACACTTCACGAAATAAACTATACCGTAATACTTTTTTCTATAATAAAAACATCACTTTCAGAGCAAACTAAAAACATAAAATATGTTCCTAACTTTCCTACATATTTTATTTTGAGAATACGGAGAGACTCTGTTTTTGGATAATGGTGTATATTCGTATGGATCTGTCAGCAATGTGACATTTTGTCCAAAATTAGGAAATACAGTTGCATTACATTAGAAGTCCTATTAAAGGGTGGTAGGTAATCAACGCGCCACGCATGGGCGAGATATAGGTATCTAGCATAAACAAAGATAGCCACTTTGACTGTTGCCCAGATCAACGAGTACAGAGACGTTACCAAGCTTTAATGAGGTATTTTTAGGTGATTGGAAGGTATCGAAGAAGTCACCGGCGGTAATTAGTGCAAGTTGCGCTCAGGTCAAACCTCATAGCGCATTGGATTATGGGAAAACCAATGTTCATCAACACAAATGTCGCACACGCGCAGCGCAACAACCACCGCCCTTTAACATTTTCGTAAGAAAAATTTGTTAGTGTTCCAAATCACCATGCAATTGCTCATTGTGTCTAATCGAGCATACAAGTATAAAAACACAAAGTATATTTTGGTATGCATAAATGTGTATATCCACGATGTACGACGACCACTGGCCATTTCTGAAGTCACCAATAACAGAGGCTGAAGCCCGTCACTTGTCCAAACAAAAGGGGTATATGTATCTGTAGTTGGGGGCGTATAAGGTGAATTTAGCAGGCACAGGATCACGCCCTCCACCCTTTCAAACCACCAACCATGGACCTTCAAAATGTGCCATCTAACCTTGTGTTATTTTGATAGTAATAAGGATCATTCACGATGTGTAATCAAGAATTAAAGTCGAGAGTTGTAAAGCTATAACGTAAACACCAAATAAACTGTTGATAACGAGTCTTGTTATGTTCGAACCTTGGTAGGTCTATGTGTTATGTAATAGGGGTGGTAAAGGGGTATACGTTACACTGAAATAAAAACGGCATTTTACGTTTTTATAGGAAGTAAGATGAAAGTTCCATTTGCAGTAAAAAAAAATGGGTTTTTACACTTCACAAAAAGAGCAAATTCCTAATTACATTCTTATACTATTGTTGATAATTTTTGTTTAAGAATCAGAATTGGAAATTGTGTATGAATTACAAAAATGCTTTATACGCTTACAAAAAATAATATCTTTGTACAAATTACTGATGAATAAAATAGCTGATTACATTTTACACCTTTCCCATGTCTACGAATTTTCGTGGTATGGGGTGGGTAGATTCTATAGTAATCTGGGGAAGAAAGAAAAAAAAAGTTGTTATTTTAAACATTTTAACATCTCATTCATAAATATAATATTTGTGTATGTATATATAAACGTAAAAAATAACGATGTGGTACAAATATATCAATCGAAGTGCGACGAAGAAGCCAGGCATACGACAAAGAATACTATAAAACCATTTATTTTCACTGACATTTAATTTCGATATTTTTGCCGAGGAGTAAAATCCGATAAGTTACTTAAATCCATCTGAACAATGAAAATACAAGTAGAACTCTTTGTTTCCTGCCAAGTTCGTGACCTGAAAAGCAAGTGAAATTGCTCAAATTGTCAGTCAAAATAAATGGCTTCATAGTATAACTCGGTAAAAACCATGGAGGTAAAAAGATCTCCATGGTAAAAACCAATGACCAGAATGTGGACCGAGCAGTGAGCCCGATTTTCAACGGTCGATGGCCACGACCGAAAACTCCATCCACCTCCTTAAGCTAGAACGCGGACGAGAACGACATATTCTACCACAGTCCCGCTATTTATAGAGGGCCTGTGATTCTACGTACGGTACAGAACATGAAGTAAATCAATGATGGGACTTAAAGTTATCAGTTTTAAAAAGTTCTGAAAATGAACTCGTGGCACTGGGCCCGAGGCAAGACAAAGAGTGTGAGGTGCACATCCGGGAAATTTATATACACATTCTTATTTTATTTACACACAAGGACAGACAATCGGATTAATACCTTCGCCCCTCCCCACAGTCAACTTTCACGGAGCTAACACAATTCTTTGCCTACTAACTACAGTTTTAACTTACTGTCCGTATTTGACACCACATGTTTATACATACATGCACGATACACAAATAAATTATGCATACCAGACACACTAGTAGAAATGTGAGGAAATTCGATTCAGACAAAACCCTTATAAGTATGGTAATCTCGAGTTTGTTAATTTAAAATCGCCTTCTATCGAGCATTCAACATAAATTTCTACAATTGATAACACACATAATGAAGTGTACATACACATAAAAACAATTCTGATTAAGTGCAAAATGTTTAAAGCGGGAGGGTCGTTACCTACGCACGCGCGGGATTTGACTCCTAAGCGATGATAACAACACACGCTAAAAACGCAAAGGCACATGAGAAGACGCTTGTTTGTAAACAATGATACGCTATGGCCATCTGACGCATGCGCAGGTGACGACCCTCCCGCTTTAAGTTTGAGCGTATTTGAAGACTGAATGTATTTTTCTGTCACTATTAAAATAACGTTTTTGTTTATGTTTGAGCTTTGAGATTGTCTGTTTATGTTTAGAAACGTCAAGGACTTGAAACGGAACTCGGACCAGACGTTATTAAGACAACAAATTGGACATAATGCTGTTTGTGTTATTATTTGGCAGTTGTTATTTTCAATCAGCGTGTATTTTAAAAAGAAAAGAATGTCCTTGTTTTGTTAAAGACAATGTCCAACATTATAATACCATGAACAAACATACAAGACATTCACTGCCAAGTCAGCAATCTGCATACACGCAGCTACACACTACACGCAACCACAATCTCTGATAGGAGGGGGGAAGTGTAGAGGGATAGTTGGTACAGGTTACAGGAAATAAAGACGGCATTTTACGTTTTTACATGAAATAAAATGCAAATTCCATTTACAGTAAAAAAAAAAATAGGTTTTTACACTTTACAGATAAAGCATATTCCTAATTACATTTTTATAATATATTTGATAATTTGTGTTTAAGATCCAAAATTGAAAATTGCGTACAAATTACGACATTTAATGTGAAAAATGCGTTGTACGCTTACAAAAAATAAAATCTTTGTACAAATTACGGACAAATAAACTAGCTGATTACATTTTACACCTTGCCCAAGTCTACGGATTTACGTTTTCTATTTATTTAAATTACATTATTACGAAAATAAAAACAATTTATTTACAGCTTTCGAAAATACCCCTTGCCGACCCTCTGATGGGAGACTGTGAAACAAACCACGGAATAACTTACTGAACCAAACAATACCGTTCTGTACACATGCATTAGCGGGAGAATATGTTCACAAATATTCTATTGGGGACCGTGGTTGAAGCACAGGGAGTTGGATTAACTCGATTGAAAAAATGAGCTAGACACGGAAGTAATTGCAAACAAATAGGGGAATGCATATTTAATGGTATAGTGTATTTAATAACCAGTCATATATATACTATATATATAACGTAACATAAGCCGTATAATACACTAGAGGGCCGAAACCTCCGCCCTGTATCGCCCAATTCTGGGTCACTCTGGAGCAATTCATTCTTTCTTTCATTCATTCATTCATTCATTCATTCATTCATTCATTCATTCATTCATTCATTCATTCATTCATTCATTCGATGGATGGATGGATGGATGGATGGATTGATTGATTGATTGATTGATTGGTTGATTGATTGATTGATTGATTTATTTATTTATTTATTTATTTATTTATTTATTTATTTATTTATTTATTTATTTATTTATTTATTTATTTATTTATTTATTTATTTATTTATTTATTATACTTGATTATAAAGTGACCAGGAAAAAATAACAGATAATACTAATTTTTCTATATTATTGTAGACGGAAACTGCCTTGCTAATAATGCGTTCTTTTATTCATACCGGCAACTGCAATGGGTAACATCGGGATTCGACCATTTATCACTAAGGCGGGACGTGCCATCCAGTAGCATCCCACATTCACGTTGACCGCACTTCAAGCCGAATTGTAATGGTTTGTAGACAGTTCCCTATATTGCAGTTGGTTCCACGTTCTTTACAAAGACCTCAGCTGGAGTTCTGAATGACGTATTTATGTTAAGTTACACCCGTCACGTGCGTTGACACACTGAAATGAACACGCATAACTCTCTATTGTTATTCTAATTATAAACGTCGCGTATATAAATAGACTTCCTTCGCCCAGCTCTTTCAGTTACACGACGAAGGCATCGGTCTTTCAATCTGCAATAAGTAACTTTATAAACTCTACAGATTGGACGCTTTACAGCCCTTGCCATGAAAATACTAGTTGCAGTGTTTGTTGTCGCCGTTATCGGCATGGTTATGGCGGAAGATGCTTCTAAAGACGCCAAACAACCCAAGGTGAGTGCGCTACTACAACAAGAAGCTGTCTTTCAAAATGGCGTACGACTGTTTCTTTCTTCTTGGTTTTCCATTTCTTTGTTTATACCTGTAAATACAGTAATCAACTTCGAAGCAAAGTGCATTGAGGACGCTGACTTAAATGTTTTTTGAGACGAATCGTGTTTTTCTCACTGCCCCAATTTTCCTCTAAAAACATAGTAACCATTGCTGTGGACTTGGCATTTGAAGTGGATGGAGTTATTGTTCGCATTATGAAGACATGGCGACTGTTTATATTTAGGTCAAATGCGTACACAGAATAACAATGCAGCTACGAAATCTATTCGTTGTTCCACGTTACAACCAACTTGTTGATTTCTTTGTTGTGACAATCTTGCTAGAAGGCATAGTTACAGTGCAATTTTCGGTGTAAATGTCGTGCTTTGACCGATGGCGGTTCTTTTTAGTTTCATTTCGTTCCACGGGCATTTAAAAAATAATTCTTTGTCATACAAAATTATTTGCGTAATCATGGTGGATTGGGTGGGTCTGTATCTTAACACTGTAGGGAACATTTCACCGCTTTTCGGAAGGTCACATTTCACATTATTGCACACTTGTATACATGGTTAATTGAATTGCGGAACACTATCCGATCGAATCCACTTTCAGTCGGTCCAGTCGTAGAGGCAATTGCAAGAATTGCAAGTGCAGTGCAGTGTAGTGTAGTGTAGTTTTATTGTTGCACGCTTATTTAATTTCCACTTCGGTTGTTCGTCCTGACAGGTTTGTTATTCTACTGCACCGAATGTTCATGCACATCAATTGTTTTGTTCAAAAGTCTGACGAACTGTCTCTCTCCTTCCATAGGCGGCATCGGTTACAGACCTGAAGAAGTCTCATCCAATTAGACCCATTGAAAAGGCTAGAAAAATGGCACACAAAGCGACGCAAGTGAAACTTCGCCCAGAAATTGAAGAGAAACGTCGCATGATGCGGGAACGAAAGGAAGAAATAATGAGCATAAAGAAATCCGACCTCCCATTGGAAGAGAAGAGAGCCAAGATGGCGAACCTAAAGGCAGAGTTCAAGCAGCAGAAGATGAGCCTGGGATTGGAAGGTGGTCGCAAGACCCCAGAGGAACGCAGAGCAATGGTTCAGGAACGAAAACTAGCACGCCAAAATCACGAAGAAAAGGCAATTCGTCGTATGCCTAAAATTGGTCAGAAAGGCGGAAGGAAACTGGGTATGAGGCTCGATAAGCGGGAGCGTCAATAAATATTACAAAGGTCATTTTGCCTTTCTAAAATCAGATCGCTGAACTTTTTTAACTTTCAGTATATACACTTCTTTCTTCATACTGCTGTATTCGATTTTACTATTCTTACAATATATTTTACCTGAAATGGGTATTTTGTCGAGCCTTTCAATGAACTTGTGACCATAATGACAATAATGCGTCTCGCTCGATATGTTTTTTAAACGTATTTTTACTGTGTTTTTTATTACATTTTTAGTTTCAAGCCATTTAGTAATGACCTGGTGTCATTCGTTCACAAGGTTATAAATAAAGTTTACATAAAACTGGGCATTTTGCGTGTTGGCTAATACTCCCTTCAAAAGAGGACTTGTCATAATTAGTGACGGACAAGTGCAACGTCGCCCTCTAGCGTTACGTATTGTGTGATAAAGGAGATCGTACAGTTCATGGGTTTTCCTCAAACTGAACCATTTTCGAGACTTGGGATATAAAAACTCCAGTGTTAAACGTAGTTTAAATTAAACGGCACTTGTTCCGTCCAATTTCTCGTTGAATAACTGTCCTCAAACTACAATCTATGGTGTATTGCCTGATTATACTTTGGCGTCATTATGGACATCGAAATACTAAATAGTCAAACGTGCAATTATATTTTTTATTCCAATTTTACCAAACGTCAGCTTGGGCACTATTATCGGAATGTCGCAAGAATAAAAACAAAATTCGAAGGTGTTTGCACTCTGACCCGACGGCCACCAGTTGTGTAATTGTTTACCAATTACGATAATTGAGTGTAATCAACACGCAATCGTGATTGGTTGATCATAAATGCACAATTCCCTGGATTTGTCAGATTTCTGTTCACATGATTTACAGTATTTTACAGTACAATTTTCTATAATAGTACTATTTAATCAGCCAGAGCATCTACTACCATTTATAAGCACTTGGTGTTTTATCAATTACTGGCCATTGTGAATTTAAACTTTCATTTGACAGGAAAGTTAACTAAAAAATGTGTATTCGTGCTTATTCATGCTTAACCTATGCCTCGAATTTAGAACCCATTTAGTGATTATCGATCACTGCAGGTCTGTATTCACACTAAATGTCGCTTTGTTCCCATAAATTGTCCCGACTGTTATACGCTGTTGTTCTCATAAATGTTCACACTGACTTCTATAGTACCATAAATATCATGGGACTTCACCCGGCACTGTTCTCATAAATCCGTCCGTGGAGTTTTTTTATGCAGACCACGTGACATGCAATGCAACACTAACCACGTTGTACTGTGCTAAGAATAAACCAAAACATAATATTTGTTCGAACTCTGGACTCTCACAGCGGTCTGACATGCTGTAAATTAAGCTGACTGGAATACGATGTTGGTCATTGGCATTATATTGGATTATTCGATTTAGATTTTGTGGCTGGGCTTCAAAAGTATTAACAATTCCAGGAATATAAGATGGTTCGAGGCAGTGTTATTTTTTTTAAATCAGGTAAAGCCATCCTACTCACCCTCTTCTGAGATTTAAACTACCGCCATATAAAAGGTATCGGTCTGGGGCCTCTACATTATAACTAGGTTCCGACTTTATATTTCAGAAGATACCTCGTACGTTTGTGTGTGTTTTGGTATAGACCAGACCTATGGGGTGAGATCACCGCCAAAATAGAATTATTTCACTATTATTTCAATATCTTTCAATTATTTCACCATTATTTAAATATCTTTCAATTATCACACCATTATTTTTATTTAAATTTCTTTCCACGTCGATTCAATCCAGAATTCAAGTGTATATGGACGAAAGTTTTTGGGTCCGAGGTAGCGTGTGATGTGGATTCATGTTCCGGGGCCTAGCCCCCACTGTTCTTTGCGCACCAAAGATGAAACAAGATTAGTTGAACTAACGCGATCGTCATCCCTTCCCATTCCTGGTCATCGTGGCCGTGATCGTGGTCCATCGCTGACATCAAGTCCTGCCATCGCGCAGCAATACATGCAAACATGCAATCGAGATATCAACAACGGTTTAGCTACCAGGACAAGACACTGTAGTCGTCGTCGTGGTTCAAAAAAACACCTTGATCCAATTTCCAATTTCCACCTGTTAAACATAAATTGACTTTTATTAATTGCTTTAACCATAGACCTTAGAAAACAAAGTCTATGCTTTAACATATTTGTAATTAACACTTTCATTATACACATTGTGATTACAATAATACGTACGAATGTACTCGAGTGATTACATGTAGTTAGGTTCGCACTTAACAGTTTAACAAAACATAAAATTGAGA